TCCTACACCATTTCTGACAGATAACAGATTAACAAAACTGGAAGGGAACTTGGAGGTCATCTCGTCCAACCCCCTGCCCAAACAGGAGCCCCTACACCATTTCTGACTGATGGCAGTCTTGAAAGCTTCCAGGAATGAAGCTCCCACAATTTCTGAATAACAGAATAATAACAGAATAAAAGTTGGAAGGAACCTCATAGATCATCTAGTCCACCCCCCCCACCCAAGCAGGAGACCCCACACCAATTCTGACAGAAGGCAGTCCAGTCTCTTCTTGAAAGCCTCCAGTGACAAAGCTCCCACAACTTCCAGGGCAACTTCTGTTCCATCAGTTGGTTGTTCTCACTGTCAGAAAATTCCTCCTTATTGCCGGGTTGAATCGCTCCTTGATCAGCTCCCATCTGTTCTTCCTTCTTGGCCTTCAGGTGCCTTGGAAAGTAGCTTGACCCCTTCCTCCTCTCTGGGGCAGCCCCTCAGATATTGGAAGACTGCTCTCCTGTTTTCCCTGGTCCTTCTCTTCCCTAGACTACCCAGGCCCAGTTCCTGCAACCGTTCATTGTATGTTTTTGCCTCCAGTCACCCTAATCATCCTGGTTGCTCTTCTCTGCACTTTTTCTAGAGTCTCAACATCTTTTTTACAGTATGGTGACCAAGCCTGGATGCAGGATTCTAGGTGTGGCCTTACAAGGCTTTATAAAGTGGTATCCCTTGATTGTATCCCTCTGTTGATGCAATTTAGACATAAGCATGTTGTAGCACATCTGTTAAGGAAAATTTGCCCCTTTTTACAAGCTTTCCTGCCACATTCCTTAAGTGAATCACTGCAGTTGTTACATTAGCAACACGCTTGTTAAGTGAATCTGGCTTCTCCCATGGACTTCGTTTGTCAGAAGGTCGCAAAAGAGGATCACACATGACCCCAGGACACTACGATGCTCATAAATACAAGGCAGGCGCCAAGAGTCTGAATGTTTTGATCACGTGTTCTTAAGGATGCCTCAACGGTCATTAAGTGAGAAAAGCATCACGGGAATGCTACATTGCTACAAAGATTTGCAAGTGTGACGAATGGCCCTAAGTCACATTTTTCGATGCCGTTGTGACTTTGAACAGTCACTAAACAAACTGTTGTAAGTCGAGGATTACCTGTTACAGCAGGGGACTTCAAAACTCGACAGCTTTAAGTCTTGTGGACTTCAACTCCCAGAATTCCTCCTCCAGTCACCTTAGCTCAGGAATTCTGGGAGTTGAAGTCCACAAATCTTAAACATGCCAAGTTTGAAGATCCTTGTGTTACTGTATAAAAATAAACATAAAATGACAATGGCTTTTCGCTGAGCCTGAAAAATGCTCCTGATCTCATTCCAGCAGGCAGAGACAGTAGATTAACATATTCAAAACCACAGTTAGGACTTCCTGTGCAGCAAATTACTTGGTCAGCCCAGGAATTCAGAAGATAAACAAGAAGAACTCCTTGCAATGGCTGGAATTCTCGCCAACCCTGGTTTCATCCAGCCAATTCCTCGGTGGTCAAGTGGAGGATTTGGCCCTGGTGTCCGATGCCAATGCCATCTCTGCAAACCCGCCCCATTGTTCAAACTTGACCCAAAGGCATTTTTAGATTTTTTTTAGATTTATATTAACAGAATTGGAAGGGACCTGGTAGGTCATCTAGTCCAACCCCCTGCCCAAGCGGGAGACCCTACACCATTTCTGACAGATGGCAGTCCAGTCTCTTCTTGTCATATAATTATGTTAAATGTTCTGTGGGGTCATTGGTGCTCCCTGAACTTGCAGATGTTTCAGAATTACCCAACTAGGTAACATCATCAGTGCTCGAAGGGGAGTGGGGTTTGTTCTCTTTTTGTATACTTGTGGCTTGTCTATGTTGATTTCCTTGATTAGGCTATTAGCTTGTTTATCTGAGTTGGCAGTTCCTTAATTGAGGTACTGTTTATTTCTGATTAGATTAGATGTACAGAGTTGGAAGGGACCTTGTAGGTCATCTAGTCCAACCTCCTGCCCAAGCAGGAGACCCTACACCGTTTCTCACAGATGGCAGTCCAGTCTCTTCTTGAAAGCCTCCAGCGATGAAGCTCCCACAACCTCCGAAGGCATCTTCTGTTGCATTGCTCTTATAGTCAGACAACTCCTCCTTAATTCCGGGTTGAATCTCTCCTTGATCAGTTTCCATCCATTATTCCTTGTCTGGCCTTCAATGGTGCCTTGGAGAATAGTTTGACCCCCTCCTCTCTCGGGCAGCCCCATTGCCCTTCAATGGATGCCTACAGCAGTTCAAACCAGGTTTTTACAAGAGATACCAGTAACAAACCACTTGGAGGGTGTGTTTGTACAACCCACCAGGATCAAAATAGAAATTGAGGGGGGGTGCGCTACAGTTCCATATAGTGCACCAGTTGTCCTTCTTGGCTTAGAATTATTCCCCCTGCCCCCCGCCATTCCTTTGAATTACAGGTAGTCCTCAACTTACAACAATTCATTTAGTCACCGAAGTTAAAAAAGTGACTTACAAACATTTTCCCCACTTAACGACCTTTGCAGCATCCCCACGTGGTCACATGATCAAGATTCAGATGCATGGCAATGGACTCTTATTTATGATGGTTGCAACGTCCTGGGGTCACGTGATTACAGTGACCGTCATAAATGTGAAACAGTTACCAAGTATCTGAATTTTGATCATATATGACCATGGGGGATGCTGCAATGGTCATAATTGTGAAAAACGGTCTTTAAGTCACATTTTTCAGTGCCCACTGTAAGTTTGAACCGTCTCTAAGTGAACTTTTATAAGTTGAGGACTTCCTATCCCCTGGAACTGTTTTTGAAGTAAGGCAGGAAATGCTTCAGATCTGACTGAACTTAGACAGCCAAAGGGCTTGCTGAAATGGCAGCCAACAAATTAGATTTCTCCTGCTTTGCCGCAACCAAATTCTTAGGACTGAAATAGATGGCAAAATAAAAATACAGCCTTAAATAAGAGTCCCCAACTCCAGAAATAAAAAAAGGACATTTCACCATTGTCATTTTGGGCTTAGAATTAAAAAATTTAAATTTAAAAAATTTTAAAAAATTAATTTTTTAAAAAATTACATTTAATTTTTTTTAAATTACATTTATTTATTTTTTAAATTTACATTTAAAACATTTAAAAATGTTACATTTAAAAAGAATTTAAAATTTACATTTAAAATAATTTAAAAAATTACATTTAAAAAATTTAAAAATTTAAAATTTATTTTTTTAAAATTACATTTACATTTTTTAAAAAAATTACATTTACTTTTTTTAAAAAAATTTACATTTAAAAAATTTAAGAATTTTACATTTAAAAAATTTAAAAAATTTACGTTTAATTTTTTTTTTAAATGTACATTTAAATTTTTTTTTTAAATTTACATTTTAAAAAATTTAAATTAAAAATTTTTTAATTGTACCACAACCTGGCTAAAAGCCAATTGAATGCTTACTGCTTTCTCAACCTCAGAAGCTCTAAAATGTGTGGATTTCAAACTCCCAGAATTCTCTAGTCAACATGCTTGCTGGGGAATTCTGGGAATTGAAGTCCAACATGGCTTCAAGTTGCTAAGGTTCAAAAAACCCACCTGTGCAGCATTTAAAGCGGTGCTTCTCAAACGGTTTGCCTTCGATACCCCAAACAGCTTATAAGAAAGTCCTTCTTTAAATAACAGGTGAACAAGAGTTGGGAGGGACCTTGGAGGTCTTCTAGTCCAACCCCCTGGCCAAGCAGGGGACCCATACCATTTGGGACAAATGGCCGCCCATTCTCTTTTTTAAAAACCTCCAGTGATGGAGCAGCCACAGCTTCTGGAGGCAAGCTTGCCATTGATTCATTGTCTGAAATCTCAAGAAATTCCTCCTTCATTCCAGGCTGATGAGCTTCCATCCATTGCTTCTTGTCTTGCCTTCGGGTGCCCATTCTTTTAATTAATTAATTAATTTAATTAACCCCATTCTTTGTGATTACTCTTTTGAGATAGCTAATGGGTTTGTGTTGCTGCCTTAAAACTCACACACACACACACACACACATTCACCCAATTCGGTTTACCCAGGTTAAACTCACCAGGCTACCTTTGAATTACCTCTTTTGCTATCGTTGTAGGTACACCGAAGACAAATTCCTTGTGTGTCCAATCACATTGGGCCCAGAAAGAATTCTAAAATGCTACATTTTTTTTAGCTCCACTTTAGGCTCAAAAAAAGGCACCATCTACCATCCCTGTCCTATTGCCCCCATTTATTCGTACCTATTTCCTGCATTCTTACTCATGTTTATGCTTATACCTATTATCTTGTAAGCGATTGACAAATCAAACAAACAAATAAAATAAACAATGGGAGAGAGGCCAAGCTGACCCTTCTGAAAAGCGCTTGGATTCATGCAGGAAATTGGGATTAATTTGAAGCCCACCCACCCACCCATCCTCAAAAACCCCCAATTTGCATTATGGGAAACCTCAAAGGCGAGCAGACCTCCGCCTCTCCTTCAGGCAAAAAACCCATCCCCCAAAAAGTCCTGCAAAGTTGGGAAGACATTTGGTCACTGTTCCTGAGACCGAGAGCTGATGCTAAGCCATTTCTGCAGGATTTGTGGCTTTGAACCGCTTCCTGACACAAAAACAATATTTTGGGGGGATTGTCCTGGGCTATTTTAACTTACCCTGTTCTCTTTAAAGTCCTTTTTCCTCTTGGCTGCAACCGGCCTCTGCCAATAAGCCTATGGGAGACCCAGGCAGCGCTGGTTTTTAAGGCTTTTTTGCTCCCCGATTGTTAGGTCCATCCCTCTTTTGTCCCCTTCGCTTGCACGAAAGAACCCATCTTCTGCTCCCAAGCCAGAAAGACTTTTTAAAAACCACTCCTCCAGCTGGTTCCTGGGTTAGCCAGAAGCAGGAAGTTGCAGATCCAGGCAGTAAAGAAACTTACACTTACACACACACACACACACACATACAGAGAGAGAGAGAGAGAGAGAGACATAAAAACACCGGAAAAACTGTTTTATTCACTGGTTCTGCCCCCTGCAGTTTGATCGCCACATCAACCAGGGTTTGAAGCAGATCTTAAATCAAGTTACTAGTTTAAAATAATATAGTTCTCTTGATTTTATTTATTTATTCCTTTTTGTTCCTTCCAGCCACGAGAAGCAGTCTGCAGGGAGTGAGAGAGACTCAGAAATCTCACTTCTGTCTAAGTGCTACTGCTACTACCCTTCCTTCCTCCCTCCCTCCCTCCTTCCCTCCCTTCTTTCCACTCGGAACCCAGAATTGCAAGCAAACTCTGCCCACAGTCAGGAGTTCGATTCTAACCAGCCCAAGGTTGATTCAGCCTTCCATCCTTCCAAGAGCAATAAAACAAGGACCTGGATTGTTGGGGGCAAGAAGCTGATGCTATAAACTGCTTTGACAGGGCTGGAAAGCACTGTGAAGAGGTATATAAATCTAAGTGCTATTGCCCTTCCTTCCTTCCTTCCTTCCTTCCTTCCTTCCTTCCTTCCTTCCTTCTTTTTGTGGTGGCGCAATGGTTAGAATGCAGGATTGTCCATTACCAGCAGTTCAATCCTGACTGGCTCAAGGTTGATTCAGCCTTCTGTCCTTCCTAGGTGGGTAAAAGGAGGACCCAGATTGTTGGTGGGAGAGGCTGACTCTGTAAACCGCTTAGAGAGGGCTGGAAAGCACTGTGAAGCAACCTACGACAACAATGACTTACTACCACAATATTGCTGTTGCTAAGTGAAACATTTGTTAAGTGAATGTTTGTTGCCCCGTTTTACAACCTTTCTTGCCAAAGTTGTTAAGTGAATCACTGCAGTTGTTAAGTTAGTAACCTGGTTGTTGAGGGAACCTGGCTTCTCTCCATTTGACTTTGCTGGTCAGAAGATCTCAAAATGGGGATCACATGACCCCCGGGACACTGCGTAAAGATGAGTCCATTGCCAAGCAGCCGAATAAGTGCGAAAAACAGTCCTCCGTTGCTTTTTTGCACAGCTGAATGGTCACTAAACAAACTGTTGTAAGTCGAGGACTACCTATATAAGTCTAAGAGACCTTCAAGAAGAGATTGGACTGCCCTCTGTCAGAAATAGTGTAGGGTCTCCTGCTTGGGCAGGGGGTTGGACTAGATGACCTATAAGGTCCCTTTCAACTCTTATTATCTGTCATCTGTCGAGTGCTATTGCTATGCACGCACATCCTGGCTTGTTTCCCTAAGTGTCACAACTCAATTTGCACGAGAGCTCAGCCGCATCACCGGAGATTGTCCCAAAGAGGTTTTTTCAAGAGGCAACTGGACTTTCTCTGGGTTTTTTTCTTTTTCCCTTTGTTTTTCTTTTGAGATTTTTTTTTAAATTTGAGATTGACAGGACCATCTCCAGACAGACAGCAGAGGGAACTCCTGCCTAAGGAAATGAAATGGGACAACATTCACTTAACAGCTGTCCCCCCCACCTCCCGCATCATAAATGTGGAGCTCCGTTGTGGTCATAACTGGAGGACTTCCTGTACTTGCAAGCCCAAGTTCTGTCATTCCCAAAGACTAGAAACTTGCTCGTTCTCTATTAAAGAAAAAAGCAACCACCCTAGGAAGAAAATTAGCAGTGTTCCAATATCTCAGGAGCTGCCTCAAAGAAGAAGAGGGGGTCAATCTATTCTCCAAAGCACCTGAGAGTAGAACAAGAAGCAATGGGTGGAAATTAATCAAGGAGAGAAGCAACTTAGAACTAAGGAGAAATTTCCTAATAGTGAGAACAATTAATCAGTGGAACAACTTGCCTTCAGAAATTGTGTAGGGTTTCCTACCTAGGCAGGGGGTTGGACTAGAAGACCTCCAAGGTCCCTTTAACCTGGAAATAAAGAGAAGCTTTCTGAAGAACAATCTACCGATGGAACAGAATTTGCCTTTGGAAGTTGTGGGGGCTTCATCCCTGGAGGCTTTCAAGAAGAGAGCCTGTGCTGCCATCTATCAGAAATGCTGTAGGGTCTCCTGCTTGGATGGGGGGCTTGGACTAGATGACCTACAAGGTCCCTTCCAACTCTGATTATCTGTTATCTGTTACCTTCCAACTCTGTTATTCTATTCTAAAAGGGCCCTGCATTTTCTGCCCATTTTTTGCAGGCCTCTCTTATTTATTTATTTTTATTTTATTTTATTTGGTTTGTCAATTGCTTACAAGATAATAGGTATAAGTAAAAACATAGTGATGAATACATGGATGCATGTAAGAAAAATAAAAAGTTCCCCAGCCAGTTGTGCTGCTTTCTAAATGAGGCAGGTGCCAAGTGAAAGAGAGAAAAAAAAGACTCGTAGGATGTCGAATGGATAAACACAACGGCTTTTGTTCCCTCTGCACATTTTTTCCAGGATTCCTCACCCCCACAGCCTGGCCAGTTTTTCCATACCCAGGCAGCTGATTATCCCACACCGTGCCCGAAGTTGCCCCAAGGACCCAGGCCGGCTTCGGGGAAGGATCCCTGCGCTCTTTTGAGGGGTGTCCCATCCCATCCAGTTCCCCCTCTGATGTTCTCAGTCTTCGAAATGAGGAATCCTGTCTTCCAGGACGATGTGGCCAGCCTGTCGGCACCTTGGTGGGATCTCCCGGGAGAAGGCTGGCTTCCTACCAGAAAGGTAAGGAGAGGAGACCCACCGGGAGGAATCTGGAGATTCAGGGGGGAAGAAATTAGAACAATGGGATAAGTTCTCACCACCACCACCACCACCACCACCACCACCACCATACAGGCAGTCCTCGGCTGGCAAGCACCATTGAACCCCAAAATTGATGTTGCTGGGTGTGAAATTTGTGGAATGTGAGTTTCGTCCCATTTTTTTTATTTTATTATTACCTTTTATTGTCAGAGTACAACCTGTGTACAATGAGATTAGCTGAGCCTCCCTTTGTGCACACACACACACCCATCACAACTCACAGTGAGGACAGAAGTCCCAAACTTATTGCACTATGTGATCTTGTTGCACAAAATGCACTGGCCCCACAAGTATAGAATAGAATAAGAATAGAATAGAAAATATGCAATGGAATGGAATGGAGTGGAGTGGAGTGGAGTGGAGTAGAGTAGAGTAGAATGGAGAAGAGTAGAATAGAATAGAATAGAATAGAATAGAATAGAATAGAATAGATATTAGAAGGAATAGAATAAGAATAGAATAGAATAGAATAGAATAGAATAGAATAGAATAGAATAGAA